TCAATTTTTATAAAACTGTTCAAATGAATACCTGTCTTAAATAAAATTGTACTTAACATAAGATCATTATTTTCAATATTGTTTTGAATATTGGATTAGTCGTAAAATCATGTGCTTTAAACGGTTTCAATTTGTTATTGTTAACAATTCAATTGGTAAACTCCCAATTAATAATATAAAGATAAAGTAGAAAAAGTAATTAGTCACTTGAAAAAAATTCCCTGATTTTGATAAAATTTCCCGAGAATTCCCTGATTTTTTAAGACATAAAGAAAATTCCTTGAAAATTCCAAATTTTTCAGATTTTTCCAAGTAATAGACACCTCATAGTCATCACACTTGGTCTCAATTGAGATGTACAATTTTTCTTTTTCAATTTTGCAAAACCACATATGTATTTAAAAGCATTGATTTATGACTCTAAGACTTTCGTCAGAATTCTTTTTGGATCTTGTGTCAACGAGAACGATCCTTTTTTACGGTCGGAACATATTTCTTTGGAGACTCAAGCTCGTTCTTTATCCGAAACATGATACGGCGTGTCGCTAACTCGTCAACGGATTGTAATTCTTTTTGGAGAACACGCACCGCGCCCACTCGCGAGTCTCTTCGACAATCGAATTCTCAGTGATTTACGTTCTTCCAGCGCTGTTTTCGCGTTTCTCTTCATGTAAAATTGTATTTTAAGTTTGTTAAGATATCCTAAATAGTCATGTAGAAGAATATCTCGCGGTTACATCGAAAAATATAAACTGCGGCTGTTCGATTCTCCAAGCGAAAAAGACAAATCTTAAAATTCAGAATCAGAATCTCGGCATTCGGCGAATCGTGAGATATAAAGCATGAGCAAAATTATTATCAATCTATCCTCGTTCGTCCTACCATATTCATTCGAAGAACTCTTCAGGATGCGCGTTCAGGATATTAATCATTCCTCATGCGATTCCGCAATCCTCAAGCTATTTCCATTCTACTCGACTCTTGCGGAGTCGCTAACGCTAGATTGTAACGCGAACGCGAGTGTCGCCAGGAGACTTTCTCCTCCCTTTTACATACACGAAACGTGTTCGAGTAATATACAAATTTTCTCTAACAATTTCCCAATCCGTTCCCGTTCCCGAGAGTATCGGCAATCTCTATCCTCCTATGTGTCCCGATGCGCCCGCGAGATCCGCTCTCGCGAGTGCCGATCTCGCTTTCCTCGGGATCGCGAGATAGATCGAATCGAGATCGCGTCGATCGCTCTTCTCTCGGCGTGACGAAGCTGGGAAACGACATTGGCGACACAGCCGAAACCTCTTTTGTCGCGAGTGAAAGACGTGGGAGGGGAAGGAGTGCGATGGTATGAGAGCTCAGGGGGATGGGGGACGATCGGGGATCAGGTGAGACAGACAGAGAGAGAAAAGAGAGATAGATAGAGAAAAGAGGACGGAGAGAGAGAGAGAGAGAGAGAGAGAAGAGAGAGAGAGAGAGAGAGAGAGAGAGAGAGAGAGAGAGAGAGAGAGAGAAAGAGAGAGAGAAGAGAGGCGAGGTCAACAAGGTGCCCGATATGGTATCCTGCGACCGTCGCGAGTGCCATTTTACTCACACGCACGGCGGACGTGCGTACACGCGTGCGTGCGTGCATGATGCGTGCGCGTGTGTGCGTACGATCGTGCCTTCCTACGCTACCTACAATTAGCAGCGATCGACAAGTCGCCGCTAAACCTGCCGAATGCAATTTCGTACGTCCGTCCGAGGTGGCTGCGCCATTCTTCCTCTCCTCTCCTCTCTACACCTCTCTCCTCCAGAAAGATGTCCTTGCACAGAAAGCGCACATTTCTCGAGAAAAGTTACGTTCGTTTCATCGCAACGCCCATAATTGGCACGATATACGCGATGGTGCTTAATTCGCGATTTACGCGACTAACTTCGTAACTTCTCGGCTTCATCAGACGATTAAAAGAGAATACTCAATATTTATATTATAATTATTTATTTTTATTTATATTTATATTATAATTAAAAAAAAATAAATAAATAAACAGCCTAAGATGATTCTTCCTCTCTCTTTCATTCTCATGCATTCCTGGTCGCAAAATCACGATCCCCGAGTGGGGATGAAGGCGTCGAATTTTTATCCCTCGCGCGGACAATTCAATTAGCGCGAGATGACGCGATCCGCGATACGGTCCTATCCTCTACGGTTTCGTCGGGGGCAACCGACGTCGTCCGAGGAAAACAAAATTGGTCCGGTCGTCGCGCGGTGCACCTGGCTTTTCGTATCTCGAGACCATTCACGGACCTTCCTAAGATGGGCAGCGGCCGTAAAGGCGCGCGCTCGAACGCGCGAGCGAACGAGCGAGCGAGCGAGCGAGCTTCGAGGTCGTCGCGCGGCCGTCGATCGTCGAGGAACGATATGCCTCGCTCGAGGAAGCTCCTCCGCACGCGTATACACGCGTGTACACGCGAGCGTGCCTAGTTTACGCGGCGATACGAACTCGCGTGAATCATCGCGTGGGCCTTTACCTGGCCGCGTTTATATTCGGAATTGCAGCGACCAGGCGCTTTCGGCTGGCCTTAGGCACCGCGTGCGTCTCGTCTCGTCTCGTCCCGTCTCGTCTCCGACCGTGTCGGTCCTTAATATCCGACCGGTCTATTTTTAAGCGTGACTAGCACGAGATACGTGTGCGCGCGCGCGATGACGCAATCCTATGGTCTTTCCCCTTGTGTTTCCTCCCGCGTCCAGCGATGGGACCAAGCGGATTTCGACGGATTACGTCGGATAATAGCGCGCGATACTCGTCGCGGAATTATTGGAATTAATCTTGACCAGAAGGAACCGATCGCGGCTCGGGACCGAGAGAACGAAAGAACATTTTAATCCCTTCCTGTATTTTATGTATTTCAAGTGGATTAATTTATCGCGTATTCATCTTAATCCCATCACTATCCGTCTTGCTACGATTCTTGTCTGACTATTTCCGCTTCGTCACTTCTTCGTGGCTTCTTTATTTTTCTACGCATTCTCTCACATGGTTTTCGTCTCTCTCTTTTCGTCGCGACGGACGTCAATTTCTCGGCTTTCTCGTTCCTTTCTCGTTAAGCCTGCATCCGGTGCAACCGCGATGTCCGCATATTGAACGATACCGATAGTGTCTCGGTATGCTTTCAGCAATAATTTTACAGGATATCTACTATCTGGAAAAATCTGGAAAACATGGAATTCTCAGGGAATTTGTTTATGCTTTTTATGCTTTGAAAAATCAGAAAATCCTCAAAAAATTAATTTTCTGAAAATTTATTAAAAGTCAGGAAATTTCTTTGAAGTTACTTTTTCTACTACTTTATATTATAATCAGAAGTTTACCAATTGAATTGTTAACAACAGATTTACTCATCAGATTGATTTTATGATTAATCTAATATTCAGTATTGAAGACAAGATTGAGGTGCAATTTTGTGTAAAAGGAATATTTATTTTGATTTATAAACATTGAATTTTATATTGATTATGCATTATATAATTTTTTTTGAAATTTTAAAAGTTTAAAAATTTTATGCAAATATTTATAAAATATTTATTTTTTACAATCCTTGTAATTTCTTTTGAAATCTTCCAAATTTAATTATTGAAACTCAAGTGATTCTTATTTTATTTTATGATTTCTAAACTTTTATAAACAGAAAATATTAAGGACTTTATATAATAAATATATATTTATTTGTACATTTAAAAATACTTTCATTTTATCTGCAACTTTTACAAATCGCCTTAAAAATCAAAGAATTCTCAGGGAATTTTTTTCTAGTTTGAGTAAACCTTCTATTTTAATAATGCACGTGCACACACGTGGAACGTTTCTTCTGCACGTGCTACATTTCGTTTAAGGAATATCGTTGCGTTCGCGATGACGATTGTTCGAGCGTAACACACCACGATGAACGCAAATATCCGCGATAACATAAATCTGGCGAAATTTCTATGCAGAACGCTTCATTCTCTTCGTTTTTCCACACGCAGTTGTCTTCTCCTTTTTTGCGCGACGTAATCGTAGAACGCGTAATAAGTCCTTAACACTCATATGTCCAGACGTACTTAAGCTTCAACCTAGACCTCACTCCGCAGCCTCGATCCACTTCACTCGTTATTGCGAATTTGACGTTTTCGCGTGGCGAACGAACGCTATATTACACAAGTCCGATCCCGAGAATCATTAATCTTCGTGACGTAAATGAAGCGTTTTCACGCTTTAATACAAAGCGATTACGAAGTCCTCAGATACCGCCTAGGAAATTTACTTTTTGCTCGATTGAGTCATATTCCGAGAGGCAAAAACACGTTGCCTCTCTTGAATCGACTGGCATTCGTCTAAAAGCAGTGACAGATGGCCGGACGTTTTATCTCGAATTCTACATTTGCATTTTTTAAGCCGATCCCACGAGGTTTTCGGCTCGAGTGGGTGTAGCCAAATCGACTCATCAATTATAAACATCTTTTAACCATTTTTGTTGAAGATAGAAATAAAATGTAAAGTGTCGGTCCACAATAAGTGATTTAAGCTTTAAGAAGTAAGAAATTGACCAATTATAATCGAATATGAAAAAAATACTCGACTATGATTGGTCAATTTTTACGGCTTAAAGATTAAATACTTATTGTGG